GTGCTCTTCCGATCTAGGGTTACCTCGAGAAATATCTCCTTTAACAAATGTATTTTGATTTTTTTGTTTCAGATGATTCTGTTGCGAGTTATGATGTACACCGCAAAACTTTTTTTTCGAGGCGCCTCCGGAGATCACTGTCACTCGCTCAATTTTCAATATTTTGCAATGAAAATTTAGGAAAATATTCTTCAAATGTTGCATTATTATATGGAAATTGACTGAATAAACTAACACTATCTGTATTGCCAAAAAAAATTCTTAAAAACATGCCTTTTTTTCACCGAATTAACCTTACCCCCCCCCCCCTTAACTATAATATTAGTCTTAAAATACACTTATTCTTAAATTTAGTTAAACAGATTTTTTTAAAACACGTATAAACTTTTGAACACTTATTTAAATTATTTTTTTAAACTAACATCAAATTATATCATTTATTTAATATTATTTAAGAAAAATTATTAGAATGTTAAAAATCAAGCGTTCATAAAACTCATTAAAAATAAAGCAACCTCGTTGTCCATGAATGCATGTAGTGAAATGAATTAAAGAACAGACTCATTAATCGCGGGCACACTAATTAAAGGGCACACAAATATATATGGACAGGCACAGTAATAGGGGGGCCCTTAATATGGCCATCGCGCCGTGGAGGGGCACACTAATAGGGACAAAAACATTGTTTTTATTTTTATTAAAATATATTAAAATATTAATATTTTTTTACATAAAAAAAATTTCATAAGAAAAAGAAATATTTGAAAAATCGATAGTAATTAACTTTAAACAGACAAATTGAAAGCTACAGTATTTAGTAATTAATTCAGTAATAAACAAATTTTCTTAAAGGCACACTAATAGAGACACTTACCCTAGGCGCCTTTGACGGCAAAACATCGGTATCAAAGCAAAAGCCAAAAACTCCCCCCGCGCTCGCAACGATCGCGACCACACAGTACGGACACGCACCACAAATTGTATACCCGCGGCGTGCAGAAGAGTGAATGTTGCTATGTAGTTTATACCACTTCTCCAGGGGGCGTTAGTGCGGGGGCACGAGGGGCACTTTGAGGGGCGACATGCGAAAGGCCGTCAAGGCATGTCCTCTCCACTGAAAGCTGGTAACGACCAATCAACACGCTCAACGTATAGCTCGCGACGTGCACAGCGGTTTACGGACCATTTGTGACGACGCGATTCGTAGTCGGAGGGAGCGAGTCGTCAGAGCGATGCGACGCGACCTGATATAACCTCGTAATAATTTGTGCAAAAGTGTTCGCTATGTCGGAGAAACGAATTGAGAGTAATAGTGTAGCTTTAACCCTCGAGAATTTGCTGCACTTTGTTATCGACGGGCATTTGCAGATGTGAGATAATTTTAGCGTCATTGCAATCGTAATACTTACGTTTGCGTTTAAAGATCTTATCGCAGGGCAACTGTCCCTACTTAATGTGTCTGTACGTCCCTATTAGTGTGCTTTTATGTTTAAAGTCATAAAAATAAACTAGTACTGGTAAATAAATAGACAAAGTGTTTTTTTTTTTATTAAGTTAATACTTTAACTTAATAAAAATAAACACTTTGTCTATTTATTTGTACCAGTTTATTTTTATGACTTATTTAAATTTACTGGTACAAATAAATAGATAAAGTGTTTTTTTTATTAAGTTAAAGTATTGACTTTTTTTATTTTTTTAGTTTCGTTTTATTAAGTTAATACTTTAACTTAATAAAAAAAAACACTATTTATTTGTACCAGTTTATTTTTATGACTTATTTAAATATAAAAGCACATTAAAACATACAGGCACATTAATAGGGACAGTTACCCTATTTTATAAATCTATAGAACATCATTTAAATAATTTATATTCTTTTTTTTTT